AAAAAAAAAAGTTTTTAAAGTTAGGATCGTAGCCATATTACTTAATGCATTTTTCCACGACGATTTCAAGTATTTACTTATCACGTAAAAAAAAAAAAAACGTGGTCGTCGTCGTCGTCGTCGATAAGAACCCTACAAGTTTTTTTATCAAAATAAACATTCATTGCAATATTTATTATTATTATATATATATAAAATTAGGTTAAAAAAATTCATTTTCGTAAATTTTTTTTTGAGAAAAAAGGGGAACGTTTTCGGGGGAGGCGGGCGGAGAGAAGGGAGGGGGGGGCGGGGACTCTTTTGTCTGTTTGTATTAACCTTGCTTGGTAGTAGTCAAGCACAATTTGACCTCTCGTCGTGGGCACAAATAAATTATGTGGAAGTTTAATACGACGACGACGACGACGACAAAAACTCTTTGCATAATACTTTTTAAAAAAAAAAATTGTTATTGCAACAGAAATTAACGTAATTTTAAGACGGAAAACATGCACGTGCACGCACGTACGCACACACGCACGCACGCACATTAGTTGGCAAACGTTTTATAATTTATCCATTATAAAAACTTTTTTAATTAAAATAATTCGAAATATTGATGATACATATATAAATATACGTAATCGAAAAAATAATAATATTAAATTAAATATTTCGTTCGTTCGTTCGTTTGCTTAATTATACTAAAAATTATTTATTTATTTATTTTATTTTATTTTATTTCGATACTTTAATAATAATAATAATAATAATAATAATAATAATAATAATAATAATACCGTTATAAAATGATTTAACGCATTTTAGAATTATCGTCGTTCGTCCATATTTGTTTGTTTTTTTTTTTTTTTTCGAAACGATTCGAAACGCTTTTACTCATAATGATAACTTTTATTAATAAATATTTTTAAACAAAATGATAATGATAATAATTTTAAATATTCGTTTATCGATGATAATAATAATAATTATTATTATTTATAACGAAGGGTCGGTTTGTTATTAATTGAAATGAATTTTCTTCTTATTAATTTCTTTTTAATAACGGAAACCATTTTATAGAAAAATCTAGAATGGATGTTTGTGAGAAAATTTTTAATTATGGGATTAAATAGATTTAAATTTTAGGTTTTGTTGTATTGCAAACAATTTTCCGCGCCATGTTGTTGTTGTTGAAAAACTTATAAATGACGTGTAAACAAAGTTTTTTTTTTGTTTTGTTGGTATTAGCTTTGATTTAATAAAATAATAATAATAATAATTTACGAGTAAATTTAAAATATTGGTAATAAGGTGGATATTATTATGAAAATTTTATTTATTTATTTTTTTTTTGGCAAATATTTAATAAAATTATTAATTTACGTATTTGTATTCCCGTCGAATACATAATACAACGTAATAACGTAAAGTCGCAATGAGATCGTATAAAAAATTATTATTATTATTATTATTTTTTTTTTTTTTGGCAAAATATATGAAAATCATTTATTGAATAATCAATATACGACAAAACAAACCGAACGCAAACAAACAATTTATTCAGAGCTCATATTCGATTGTTAAAATACCAAATAATAAATAAAATAACCTTAACTTGAAATTTATTTAATAAAAAAAAAAAAAAAATTCAATATTAATAATAATAGGCGAGGATTAAAGGTAATTTTTTTTTTCGTGAGATGATGAAAGAAAAAGATAAATTTTCATTTTTTTTTTTGTAAAATATATTATTATTATTATTATTTAGTTTTTTTTTTTTACATATATAAATAAAAACAAAAATTTTTAAGTTAATACCAACATAAAATATAAAAAAAACATGGCGAAAGACGAAGGGTAGGTTTTAAAAAAAAAAAAAAAAAAAGAAAATTTCTGTGGGGGTGTTCAATTGTTATTTTAATCTAATACTGATATCCGTTGAAACCGTTGTTAGATCTCGATGAGGCGGCGGACGGATATCCGGTATCTTCGTATCGAATCTGTGGCCTGTATCCGGTTTCGTCTGCTTCGTATTGAACGATTTGCATTCTTCCGTCGGGTAATAACACGTGGTAGGCTCCACGTGCAGATTCGTTTTCTCTGGATTCTTTATGACCGAATTCGGTACCGGTTTCGTCCGAGGCTTGAACCTTATAATCGTATTCGTATTTTGCGGGTTCCTAAAATCAAATCCACGTTCGTAATATCATGAGTGGAGGAATTTTAAAGAAAAATACATTGATAGGTTATGTAAACTCACGGCGAAGGGATCTTCGGTGGTTTGAGATCGTTTAGATGGTTCGTATCCTTGAAAACCTGAGGATCCTTGAGATCCGAAACCGTTTCTTTCGAAAGGTGCGCCGTAAGTGGCGGAGGGAAGTTGACCGGATCTACCGGAAGGGGAGGAGAACGAAGATGATTGTGGTGGTCCGTAGACTGAAGATGGAGCAGCTCCGTTACCGAAATTGTTGTTTCTGGCTTGAGGAGGTCCGTAGACTTGAGATGGAGCGGCGGAATTGGCGAAATTGTTGTTCCTGGCTTGTGGAGGTCCGTAGACCGAAGATGGGGCGGCACCGTTACCGAAATTATTGTTTCTGGCTTGGGGAGGACCGTAGACCGAAGATGGAGCTGCGCCGTTACCGAAATTATTGTTTCTGGCTTTAGGAGGACCGTAAACTTGAGATGGAGCACCTCCGTTACCGAAATTGTTGTTCCTGGCTTGTGGAGGTCCGTAGACCGAAGATGGAGCTGCGCCGTTACCGAAATTGTTGTTTCGGGCTTGGGGAGGTCCGTAAACCGATGATGGTGCACCAGATTGTGATGAACGAGAACCACCGCCGAATCCGTTTCCGGGAGCACCGTAAGTCGACGAAGGAACATGAGACGAAAACGAATTTCCGCTTCTACCTGCGGCGTCTACAGCGATACTGTCGCTAGAATCGAAGGATGGCACGTTGGCACCCTGTGCCGACGGTACTCCGTACGTGTTAGACAACCGTCCGGCCGCGCTGGGAACACTGAGTCCGTTACTCAAATCGAAACTTTGTTGTTGTTGGTTATAAGAATCATGGAAATTGGAATTTGGTGAAGGTGCCACCAATTCGTTCGAATCCGTGAATGCCGGTGCACCATACTGACTGTTCAAACTTCTACTGGCGCTAGGCGGAAGGTACGAGGTTTTCACCGGAGGTTCTGCCAAAGTGACCGCGAGTAACGATACGAATATGAAAAATACCTGAAAATTCGAAATGGTTTAATGATTCGTATAATTCTCCAGGTATTCGGGCGCATCCCGAAATCTCGCCCACGTTTCATCATCTGTATTACGAATATATAAAAATCACAAAACTCACTCAAACCAAAAACGAAAAACTCACCTTCGCCATTTTTCTCGATAATTTATTTCTAGGATCCTTTCGTATTAGAATGAGATGAGTGAGATGATGGTCGAATCTGGTATACTGATCTCAGACAACTGATGCTGATCATCTGTAACCGAGACGTTTTTATAATCGTCTCACTCGAAAAAAAATTTTTTCATCTTTCATAACGTCAGTCATCATTCACCCCCTTTTGTCTCTTCTTCGTCTCCGAATCTGTTTGCATCGTTCACGTTTAGCTTTTAGGGAGAATTAATAATTACGTATTGTTTTTTTTTTTTCATCTCATTCGTGACACGCGGATCCGGAACGTGTGCGCCACCATTTTTCAATACCTTTTCGTCGAATTGGGTTCATCGAAAGCACACGCACATCGCGCGTAAAACGCCCTACTCACGTACTTATATTAAGGTCATTATTACGCACAAATAAGAAAGAAGGAAGATGGGAGGTATCATTATTATTAGCATACGACATTCATCAACATCGATTATCATCTCGTGAAACTGAGCTATATTTCACATCTCGTTTACTTCTACTTCTACTTTTATTTTTACTACTACCACCACCACCTCTACTACTTTTTCATCTTTTTCTTTTTCTTCTTCTTTAACTTCTTCCTCCTCTCATTCTTCTTCTTGTTCGCGTATCGTTTTAATTATTATGATTTTCATCTTACAAATCAAATCGCAAACGTTTGATCTCGTTCTAAGGAAGGAGTTTTCCTTGCCTACTCATTCTACTCGTGCACGCGTTCGTGTTATCAACACAACATTTACAACATGGGATAACGCATGCATACATTTTTATTACTTACTATTAGTTTACCGTAAAAAAAAAACCCACGTCACGAGTATTTTTTTTTTTTTAACATTAAATGAAAACGTTTTAATTCATTTATTATTACTCGTTTCATCTTGCGATTTTTTTTAAATACACAATAAAAATGGCGTCACACGTTGTCATGTCTCTAGTAATAAACTATATCATTTGGTTTTTTTTTTTTATAAAGTAAAACACGAGCAATGGCATAATTATGTAATTTATGTATCATGATAATCTTATATTTTATCTTTTTAATTTTTCCACATATGAATTACAATATAATGTTTGTAATCAAATACCTGCAATATTTAATTTATTAATATTTATTTATTTAATCCTTACAAATCGATGACGTTTAGTTGAAATTTTATAAATTTTATATTTATAACGTCTACATACTCTTCGAGTTTTATTTGTTAGACGCCATTTTGATATACATTGGTAAATATAGCTTGTGACGTTATGTCACCAACTTCCTGTTATACATTTGTCATATTTTTTTTCTACAATGAATAAATCGATTGTACCATTATCATTATTATTTTTCATTTAACGTATCGCATTAATTTAATTAAAATTTTTAA